CGCCGGGCGGGGCAGGCCCGCGCCGAGCCGCGGCTGGATGGCAGCGGCGGCCCGGGGCACGGCGGCGGTGGCGGCGCACGGTAAGGGCGGGTGGCGGCCCCAAGGCGGCGCGGCCGGGGACGGGGGTCGCTGGGCCGCCCCCGCTCCGCTGTTGTGGGACGAGAGGGGAAAGCGGGAGGCGGGCACGGCAGCGCGGCTCAGCAGCGGCGGGACGGGGAGAACGGGGCCGCCGGCGGCGGGACGGGACGGGGTGAGCGGCGGCGGCAGCGCTGTCCGCAGCGGAGCCGAGCTCGGCTCAGGCGGGGCCCGGCCCGGCCGAGCGCGGGTCAAGTTTGGGAAGACGTGGCGGGGAGCGCCCGGCCGGGCCGCTGGTTCCGGCAGCCGTGTACCGGCCCGGCGGGACCGCGGGCTGCGCGCCACCCGCCCCAGGGCCCCAGCTGCCCACGGGCTCCCGGGGCCGGCATCCCCCCGGTCCAGCCCGCCTTTGCGGGCGTGCCGGGGGCTGGAGGCAGCCGAGAAAGTTTTGGAAGTCGGTCCTCTGGCAGACAATGTCGCGAGAGGGTCTCGGGCAGGGGGTGCCCCGCGGGACGCGCGGAGCTTGGGGGGCCGGGTCTGCGCGGCCACGGTGACACGGGGACCCCGGCGGGGGGCAACTAATGTGCTGCTCCAGTGAAGTGCGTGAGCAGGGTTAATTACTGATTGCCCCCGCGGCAAGTATGTCTCACTTTGCATCGCTCTGCGTTCCTCAAATAGAAAACCCGCGCTGTCTGTCCCATCCGCCGCGATGTGAGACGCAGCGATACGAGCGGGCCCGCTGCATTAGTCGCCCGCGGGCGAGAGCGGTGGCGGAGCCTGGCCCGGGCGAGGGCTGCGGCACTGGGTGACGGGGCGGGAGGGGGGCGGTGTGCCTGGCCTCTGCCTCGGGCTGCCACGGAGAGTGGGCTGGGAGGAGAGAGATTCCACCTAACCCGGAGGGGAGTGAACGCCATTATCTGGTCCGCAAACTTTCCTCCTTTCATCCTGGGGATGAAAGGATGCAGGACTGGGAAGGAGTCACTGTCTCCCAAACTCCAGTAGTGTTCACTCGATTTTAACTACCTTCCTTGCCAGCTCTTAGGTTTGCCCGGCGTCTGTAATCTGTTCCCACCTGTGTTACACTTATTGTTCTTAATTCTGTGCATCCCCTGCATTTAGCTGCGAAACGCTGTCATTTGCAGAAATGCGAGTCTCTGTGCAAAGAGGTTTTTTATGAGAGCGATGCGGCAGAGGGGAGGGGTCCCACCAGAGCAGTGCATTCCCTAAAGATGGGCAGTGACTCAGAGAGAAAGGAGTGCTCAGGGAGTACTGGAGACCTTTTGTGCCTCTGCTGGGGTAAGGGCCTCCAGGAGGTATTCAAAGCTCTCCCCTGGGCCGATGGAGGGAGGTGGCTCATGGAGAATTTTTTGGCCGAAAATTATGCTTCCTCCCTGGAAAATTAACTTTTTTTCCATTCCATGGAGTACTCTGTTGCAACTGTAAGGCCAGGCAACCAGCTTCCAGAGAAAATGCTTGTAAAAAAGCCTTTTCTTTCTGATTTCTTCCACCTCAACAACATCTAAAATGTGTGGCAATGAGCAATTGCGCTGAGGCAGAGATGAAGCTGTATGGTCTGAGAAGGCAGAGTGTCTAGGAGAGATGGGTTCCTGCCGGAATAGTCATCGTGTCAATATTTTATTTTCTCTTTTCCAATAGGTTTTTGCCTTGGCATTTTAAGTTTTGTCTGTGTGTTCTCAGCCACTGCTAACTACAGAGGTGCTCGGTGAAGTAGGGTGAGGCCCAGGGAGCCTCATGGGTCTCCTGGCTTGGTGTGCAACCTCCCTCTGCCCCTGCTCAGGAGTGTGTAAATGACAGATTCTCATTTGTTTGTTCTTCCTGAACTGGGAAAGCCTCATGGTTATTTCAGTCCTGAGACCATTTCAGAAGGGGCTGAGCAGGCCTGATTCCTGAATACTCAGACACATGCTCTGGAGAGTGCTGCCAGTGGTAATGGGGTGACCAGGTTGTGATCCAGCACGGCTGGGAGCTGTGATGCCAAATGGAGCAATTGTCAAAGCTGATAAATAAACAATGTACTGCCTATTTCTCTCCCATGCACGTTCTTAAATACGTGATACAGCCTTCTTGATAAACATCTCTCTGTACCTGGTTATGCCTCTGCCTTATAGTGACCACAGATGTCTCTGAGAAAACCTGCAGGTGTTTTCTCTGGTAATTTCTCGAGATGTTCTCAGATGTTCTCTAGCTGAGTTCCAGAAACAAATGCTGTTGTTTAAAATTAGGAGTAGGTAGAGACTTTCTGCAACGGTAGTGGCAGTGTATTATTTTCCTCCTCTTGAGTGTTTTTTCTCTTAGGACCACATCCTCACTGTGCCTCTTTATCCCCTTAAATATTTGTCTTAGGAGCAACCAGTTTAAATTTAAAGACTTTACTAATGAGGCAGAGAAGCAAAGGTGCTATAGAGATAGAAAGTGCCTTTTTTTTTTTTTTTGAGCAAGTGGTTATGATGTGTTAGGAAGAAGCAATATGCTCTAAATAATTAGCTGGGCACAAAAATCAGTTTAGGTATGTCTTGGGTGATACACTGAATTTCTCGTAGATGTTGTATAAACATCAGGAATTTATTGAATGAGATATGGAGTTGTTCTTGAGTCAGGAAGTCTTGGTGGTCAGGCAGCACAGGTGTAAAGAAATGTGCTGGTTTTCTCTCAGTGAGTAACAGGAGAATAAAGACCTGTTGGGCACAGAAAGTTGGCCGGCACAAATGTGAGTTAGAGGAATAAGTTTTGTACCCTTTTATGCCCATTTGTTGTTCAACACCATACCTTTTTGGAGGAACCTGATCCCTTTTTGTTCTGGAAGAGGGACATGAAGCCAAGTATGCAGACCTTTTTCAGAGTCCTGGACATGCTCTTTGTCCTGTGTGCTACTGCCTCTCTCCAGGATTTTGATCACTTAGTCAAAGTGGTGTCCTTTGGGGCACATATGAGTGTGGAGAATGAGGTGCAAGAAATCAACCTGTTGGATCACTTGCAGTGATTACTTTTCGAAATTGGTTCTCAAAAGCTGTGACAACGATGTTGCAGAAGAGACTTGTGCTGCTTCCCATCATTGCCAAACTGCAGAGAGTGGTTGGGGTTTTTTTGTGTATTTATTGCCTCTTCATAGGCATATGTATGGCTGTGTAAATCCTGATTTATGTTTGCTGTGTTCCTCACAAAGTTTTCAGTCATTTTCCTTGTCTAATCCTGTCAAAAAGGACGAAGAGGTCTGTCAGGCCTGCTCCCAGGTTGGAAGGGGTGCCTGTCTATTTTAAAGGAGGAAATTCTGTAAACTGCAGGTTTTTTGCAGCAGCAGAGAGAAGACTGTGGCTGATGGAATCTGCTTGAAGAGGCCCATCACCTACCTGCACAGATGCCCCTGTGGCTGATGGCTTTAACCTGTATTGTTACTTTGCACAGAAGAAACTCTGTTCAGTTAGGGGACAGCAAACATTTTGAGAACTTCCTGTCTTTTTTTGGGTTTGTTTTGTTTTCAGGGAAAAATTTGGGGGATTCTGTGGCATAATTTTACCCTAGTTTTGTGTGTCTGTTTGCATAGCTGTAGGGGGGAGCCTGAATCGCAATGAAGGGAGCCAGAGGGCCTGGCAGTGTCCCAGGTATGCAACATGGTGGAGCTGGGCAGAGGGCAGCATCTCTGGCCCATCAGGCTGTCCTTGCAGTTGTTACTAGCTCTCCAAGCATCAGTTTAGTTCCTGTTCACTTCAGTGTCTGAGTTGAGTTGGTGCATGGAGTGCTATGAGAGGTGAAAATGTCCCTTGCTGCCAAACCCCCATTCCTGTTCTGAAGTGGTTGTGCCAATAGTGATTTACAGCTGAAAATCTGCCCCTTTTCATAGGGCCCTGTCAGCAGAGCAAGGATCTCTCCAGCTTACATCAAATTACAGATGTAGGGCTTAAGGGACTTCAGAGAAGGGATCTAATCTTTGCAATAAAGTACCATCTGCATCGGGTGTTTCTTTTGCTCAAAATAAAATAAAATAAAAACAACAACCAATGCTAGACATTCTGCATCATAGACAACCTGTTTCAGTATATCACCACTTTAGCACTGTGTAAGTTTGTTTTTTCATATTCAGGCTGAGTCTTGTTTACTGTATGAACTGATGTGGAAGAAGAGTTTAGCACTTTCCCCCTTTCTTGTGACTTTTAATGTATGCAGGCTGTTCTGTTTCCTTCAGTGTTATCTTTCCATGACTAAACACACCCAGGTCCTTCAGTTGTTTTTTCCAAGTCATGCTCTCTACGCTCTAATTTTTGTTTCTTTCCACTGCAATGTCTTAGATTTTTGCATGTATTTCATGAAGAAGAATACATGGGGCTGGGTGCAGTCTGTTGGCTAATGTCTCACCTGTGTGAGACCTACAGTGTCACTACTATTTGTCCCAGGATGACATTTACCTACTTTGTAGCAACATAAACCCACTGGCTTAGAATTAATTTCTCAGTCAATGTATGCTTTTTCTTTGTGGCACATTGGGCTTACTGTATTGTCACTTCTATTTCATTCCACACCTGGCCTCATGCCTGCCCCTGCCCTGCCCCTAGGAGCCAGATCAAAACACTGCAATAAGACACCGTAAAGTCCTGGGCTGGTTTGAACTTGCTATGTTGAGGGATTCTATTTTTTGTTGTTAAAAAAAAAATAAATGAGGGGTTACACAAAAAGTTTTGGTGGTTCTTGCACAGCTTGCCAAACCAAGACAGTGTCTTTATTGATTCCTTCTTGCATCCCCACTACTGATATCCATGGTCACTGTGCTTGGAGACTGATGTTCTCCTTCCCAGGAGCAATGGGACCCTGTCCCTTAATTTTCTTTTTGATTGCTCACTGCAGCTGTGCCTTCTGGCAAAGGGCTGATTCTTTAAAAAAATAGTTTTCCCTGCTAGTTTGTTCTGACGCTGCTCACTCATGGAGTGTGGTGTGCACATGGGGAGGTGATGCTTCATGAAGGGGTGGGGAAAAGGGGCAACACCACTTTTTCATCTGCAGTGAGCCCTTGGATTGGCTCCAACATCCTGAATTTTGTCTTGATAATTTCAGGTCCCTTTCTGTCTGGCTGTTACTTAATGCTTTGGTATCTTTATTGCTTTCTTATCTTATAGGTAACTACAAACTGATCATTTAATTTGATCAAGAATCCTTCAGAGGATTGAAGTTACTGGTCTGTAACTTCTTAAGTCTTCTCCCACCTTTTTTTTTTCCTTTTAAAAAGGTAGGTGAGGCATGATGCTTCTCCAGCCTTCTTGTGGCCTTCCTCTATTCCTGTAAATTTTCAAAGATGGTCCTAATGCTTCAGAGATTACTTTAACTGTTTTTTCGCATGCCTTCAGGTGAATGCTGTTATTCCCTCTCAATCAAGAGCTGTTTCGCAAACATTTTTAAGCTATTTTTTCCTAGTGTGCTATTTTCTCCCATTTCCAGATTAATTTTGCTTGTCACATTTCACTTTTTCTTCTGGAGACTGAAGGAACGTTTGTACTTCAGCCTTTACATCATTTGCTTTCCTTTCCTGTTTGCCAATGAGAGTGTAATTATCTTTATTTTCCTCTTCTAACATGCTCTCTTCTCTACGGTTTTCTTGTGACTGCAGAGCTCTTAGTAACAGCTGTGCTGATTTTGACTAAGAGACCATCTAACCCAGTATCCTTCTTGGAAAGGAAAAGACCAGGACAAATATATGTGATATTTTTAAAGTATCTTTCCAGTCTCCAGCTCCTTTCACATAAGGGAATTTCTTGACTCTAATGTGAGCTGTTTAACTATTAACAATCAATAGATTTATCTTTCTAGTACTTGCCGTGTCTTTTGATGAACTCGTGTAAAATTTTTCATTGTTTTTGGAGAAGTACTACCACACAAGTTATTTGCTGATGAAGTGTCATATTTGTTTCTTTTGAAGTTGATCCTCATTGACTTCATGTGGTGGCTGTCAGTACTTATGTCTGACGAGACGGTGAATAGTCTATCTGTTCACCATCTTTACACTACTCATGAGTTTACAGACTTCTGTTATGTTGCCTGTCTTGCATCCTAATTTGTACATGGATGCTGTTGCATGGCAAAAAAAAGATTTATCTGGGTACCATCTCCGGTCAATACCTTTTTCTGAAGCCTTGGGACACTGAAGGGCAAGGATGAGGGTACTTGGAGTCCTTGTCCAGCCCACCTGAAGGAAGATGCTTTCACAAGATGTCTCATATGCAGTTTCATACACCAATGATAAACAGCCTCTCTGTCCTCTACTGTGTTGAAATCAGGAAGAGTTTCAGATGTCCAGATGTATACGGGTATACATACCTGTGCTAAGACACTGAAAAGGGGGGATGGTGTGGCCAAGGCCTTTCTTCTGGGATGATGGGAGGGAGAGATGAGCACAGTCTCAGAACTGCTCTCCCTTCTCTTTTCAGAGATTGGCCAGCCTGGCTGAGACCACTTAGCAATGACAAAACAAAAACTTCTGCTTGATGGGACGCTCTCCTTGTTTCTAATTGTGGCCTGTGGAGCTCAACAGGTCCCGAAGAGTCATGTTGCTGCTAGTTCTGGTTCGCTGTGTGAGAAGGAGGCAGAGTCCTGGGGAAACCTTTTCACCAGTGAGCGGCTGGACACTTGGATCTGTTCCCTCATCGGTTCATTCATGGTGGGCCTGAGTGGAGTCTTCCCCTTGCTGGTGATCCCATTTGAGACGGGAGCTGCTCTGCAGTCAGAAGGTAAACCTGCTACCTGCACTGGCCTCTGAAGCCAGAAGTCCTGGGATGTGAATGAACAGCACAGTAGTGAACAGGACTTTGTCACAGAAATACTGTTATCTAAAGTGGAAAGTCTGTTTTTGGTGCTTTAGTCCACACCTGAGAATCTGATAGGACAAATGTAAACCCTGGATGGAGTTTGTACAAAGAGTATTGTTTTTTACCCTGCTTGGTCCAGGTCCCTCCCACACACTGCTGTTCCAGGCAAGTGGTGCAAGAGCTTTTTCTTACACTCCATTTGTTTTGTGCTCTCTCCTTTGAAAGCTTGCTTTGTGGATGCTTCCAATTTAGGTTTTTCTGTGCAAAATCTCAGCTGGAAATGTTTTGGCTCCTGGATGAGTTGTGATTAGTGTGGGGGTTTTTTGTTTGTTTGGTTTTTTCTTTTTTTTTTTTTCTTTTTTTTTCTTTAGCTGGATCACACCGTATGAAGCAGTTGTTGAGTTTTGCAATTGGTGGACTACTGGGGAATGTATTTCTGCACCTGCTTCCTGAAGCCTGGGCCTACACATGCACTGCAACGACAGGTATGAAAGCCTTATATGCCTGGAAACAGCCATGCTATGCCTACTGCTACGTTTTTTGAGTCTGTTCCATCTTGAAAGCACAAGACCAGCCACTCTGGGTCAGCCCAAAAACTGGTCTAAGCTGGTATTCTCTTTCAAACAGTATATAAAAGCACATGCCTAGGGAAGGATGTAAGAACAATAAACACACATGTAGTACTTTGTACTCTGCAGTCCTCCAGAGACTTTGAGATTAGGGTACTTTATGTTTAGTAACTTGCATTGGTTTTCTTGTCTGTCAAATTCTCCTATCTTTCCTTGGGTTCCTGTAAGTCTCTGTTGATTTTCCTTTGTCCTTTCTGTAAGGAAAGGGAATGCTTCTTTAACCTGATGAGAGGTTATGAATGTGTATGTGGTCCGGTATATGAACTTGTGCACCATCTCAGTTGGGGATCAGGTGCATCTTTTTTATAAATCTGTCCCTATAACAATGTTAACCCTAGAGCCTTTTTCTTGGTGCTAACTGGGGCCTCTCTGTTGGGTACTTGGATTTATGGGAGCTCATATGTGTTGCCCTCGCAATCTTTGCTCAAGGAGAAATCATGGAAAATTGTCCATAGAGCCATAATTAAGAATGAAGGGTGAGGCGTGGGGGGAAGGGAGAGGATATACAGGTCACAGAAACCTGTGTTCGCCAGCAAATGAAACACTGTCTGAGTTGGTGTAGAATTTGTGGTATCAGTGTAAGTCCTTCATCCCTCAGATAGCCAGGGTTGTTGAAACCTATGATGGTTGTGTCTCTCTGCTTCAGAAAACTGATGGCATAGAAGGCAAGTGTTGCTGCATCCCACCTGTTGAGAAACCAAGAAATCATTTCCCTGCTGAAAACAGGGGAAAGAAAATGAGAGGGGAAAGAAGATGATAGAGGAAAGAAGATGCCCTGGGTTTCCCAGACTCTCTTGCACCTATGTCCTAGGATTTCAAATGTGCTGGGCCTTTAGTCTTCTTTGTCACAGCTCTAGCACCATAGGCAGAACCAGCTCTCCTTTTTTTACCCCTTTCTACAGTGGTTCCCAAATTACTCTGTCTTCCTACTCTAGTTTGCTTGCTTCTGCCAGACTGTCCTGAAGCATAAAGGTTTCTTTGACCCATGTAAACCTTGTTACAGTCATTCTCTTCTTCCATTGCAATGCAATCTCCATTTCTGCAGCCAGACCGAATGGATTATTATCTCACAAGCTTGGCTCTAATTGAAAAGGAAGTTTATAGCTTTGGGCTTAATAACTTACCTAGGTGTGGCAGAAAGGGGAAGGTGAGTCTGTAGCTCCACTAACAGCAGATTTCATGTCAGAGCTTGCTGCTCAGTAGATATAGCTGCTGGATTTTTGTTGATGTAATCTTCACTTGCCTCTGGACCCCAGGGAAATTCACAGTGTTGTTAGGAAATATTTTGGGTTGTGCTATTGAAGAAAAGGGGGTGGTAGCTCTCACTCTGAGTGACCTGAAATGAGGATATCTGTTAGATCAAGAATGAGCAAGTTAAACTAATCTGCTTTGAGATGTGTTTGCTCCTCTTACCTTGGAGGGAGTCTTTCCATAGTCATTTCTTGTTTTGACTTGGAACTGCTGGTTACGCTGTAAGGGGCGTGGTGGGTTCATATGTGTGAAAAACTATGTACTTAATAGAGACATGAAGATTTCTCTCTTGTCCTTCAGGAGAAGAGCAGAGCTTTCAGCAGCAGAAGCTTCTGGGTCTCTGGGTCATCACTGGTTTCCTGACCTTCCTGGTGCTAGAGAAGATCTTCCTAGAGAAAGAAGAGAAGGACTACCCTGGTGTGGTAAGTTAGCAGCCCAAGGGGAGAGAAGGCTCTTATATTTGAAGCTCTGTACTAAACACCTCATCTGCCTTATCTGACAGGCTCAGCAAATGATCCTGGAGCTGTGAGTACCTTGTCATTGCTCTTTGGGAGCTTTTTGTCACTTCTTTGACACTGGTCTCTTAGAAGAAGGTTTCATCTCCAGGCTTTTGTTTTGTGGTTTTGACTTTTGTTCTTTACTGGTATGTGTAAAAGAGAGGTGCTCTTTTATGGGGACTGGGAGCTGGAGCACTCTGCAAATGAGACTTTTGCTCAAGTTACCTTTGAGGGATGACAGCTTGCTGATGCATGTTCCACTGACCCCATCGTGACTCATTCCCTTTCTGGGTCCTCAGTCAGGACAAAGACCAGCCTTCTTGAAGGTGTCTCTCCTTGATTATGGCCTGGACCAGATGTTTGGGTAACTTTGTGTGGTAGAAGGGGTTTATGGGTGGCCAGGTAACACTAAGTTCAGAGAAGTCACCCAGCTGCAAAGGGGCAATATAGACAGAGGTACCAGAAGGTAATTCCAAGATAGAGGAGAGGAGCTAGTCTTCAGACATAAGGACAACTCCTAGTTGCAGCTCCTATAGATTGTTCAGTCCTTTCTGTGCCATGACTTTTGAGAGGTGAAACTGCAGGTCAGGCGCTACATAAGAGCAAGTAGGTGTTAACTTTCACTCATTGTTGCGACTTCAAAGCCTGAAAGGAACTTCACCTTCTCATTTAGAGAGAGGCTGAAGTCTTAAATAAATATCTTGTTGTTTGGAAGATAATGATTCCAGCTATAGAATAATTCTGTAGGCTTAGTTATTGTGATGGACTGGGGAGAGCAAGACTCTTTTTTCGCCCATTTCCTGTCGAGTTGAGTTATATTTCTGTGGGCAGCAGCTGCTAGCAGGATTGGCAGGCTCAGTCCCTTGTCCTTCTAGAGGAACTTGGCTCATGCCAAGGGGGCGTGACTCCAATTCCTCTCTCTTTCTACTAGTCTTAAGGACTAGGAGGTCTTTGCTCTTGTTGTCTTACAGTGCAGATGTCACAATGCTCTCTGAATCTGTCTCATTTCTAGCAGTTGTTATTAAACTGGGGTGCCAAAGCTGTTGATTTACATTGTAAGGACAAAGGGATTAAGGGTAAAGACTGGATTTCTAATCCTGATTCATGCTCATTCATCACTGAAAAAAAGTGAGTGACAAGTTTTTTTCCCCTAATTTAGGACTATGATTCCAAAGCACCAGCTGGAAAGATTTCCAATGGAAGTGGGTGTTCCTTGCCAAAGGTGGCAGGCCAATCCCAAAAAGCACGAGCTCAGTGTAATGGCTCCTCTCTCCAGTCTTGTACAAGAAACAAGAGAATCAAGGTAAGAAACCCATAAACTCACCTTCACATCTTAGTCAGGAATTGTCTGTGGAAAGAACTGTGCCTGAGTGGAAAACTCGATGTTCGTGTTGTGCTTGATTTTGCTCTATCAAACTGTCTGTCCTGGTCACAGCAGGGAGGAAACAGCAGACTTGGAGAAAATCTATGCTGTAGCTTATGCAGAAGAGGCAAAGTCAACATTATGAAGGCATAAGTCTGATGATGTGTGTTTTGTCTGAATTCTGATACCAAAATACAGAATTCCACCTTTTGTTTCTCTATTTTTTCTAGCCAGTATATCTTTATTTGCTTAATTTTTTGTGCCATGATTTCTCTGTTCTCTAGTGCCTGCATTGTACCAATTGTGAGCTGCACTTTTCCTTTTAAGGCACCTTTTGGAAGTGTTTTGACACCTTTTGGAAGTGTGTTGAAGCTATCCACTATAGAACTTAGAAGTTCAGTTTCTCAGATTATCAGTTTATCTGCTGCCAAAAAGGACTTCTTGTCCACTTCTGTCTCCAAAACTGTATTTCCCATCACTTCCTTTGCACTGGTCTCATCTGACCCCACAGTGAGCCTATTCAGGGAGCTAAACAGACTTTTTTCTGCACCTACACACCCACCTCCCACCCCCAGGTCTGTTTCTCTCCTATCTTAACTTCTTGAATCAGCTTGGCATGTAGACAGGCAGCCTGCAGTGCTGGAATAAGGGAGATCAGCAAGCTCATAGGATTGGAGGTGGAGAAGGAAAAGGAGTACTGTATCATTGGGAAGTGGATAACCTTTACATTGGCTTTGCTTTCAGTTTAATGTTACTATCTTTGTACTGTGGAAACCCTTGTCTGGGTGCACATTACAAGTGAGAGAGTAAACAACCGCTTTGGTGAAGGAGGACCTACAATTTGAGATTGCAAACCCATAAAAATGTGGAAGATTGTATGAGAGTAACTATGAACAGAAAGTGTGGTTGCATGAACTAGCCCAAACTTGGATGTGTGGTCAGTCAGAGGCTCTTTTGTCTTTCTATTTTAAATGTGTTTTGCTGTAACTTAATAGCTCTTCCTACACAACATGAAAGTTATGCTGAGATCACTGTGTATTTTTGATATCTGTCACATTTCATGTAATTTTTACAGAACACTACACATACTGCAAGGTGCCACACTGATGTTTCTAGAGGTGATAGTAGTGAAGAAATCAATATTACTGGGTTATGAAACATTGTGCCCTTATTTTAGGAAGGTTTATATAAGGAACTACAGATTTAAAGGATGGTTAGTCTACCACTGATTTCAAGTAGAAATGAAACACCAATAGAGGATATGATTGCTCAAGACATGGTCCTAATGTAAAAAATAATAATCTAATTAATGCTAATTAGTATGATCTTATGGAAGATAAATTCTTATCAGCCAGACATTTTCTCCTGCCTTTTATTCAGTGATAAAATTTTTTGATAAAGGTAATGACAAACATATATAAAATATAACTTCTTCCCACATTCTAATAAAACTAATACTGCATGAAATCAACTTTGCTAATATTAGTTATATTAAAAATCAGTTATATTATCAATAGAGACTGGATTAAGGCAGCCCTCCTCAAATCTGTTCAGTGGTGGGATATGATTTTTTTAAGTGATTATTTATAAAAACAGTATGTCTTCACATTTGCAGGTACTACTATATTACATAAATGGCACATTGTGACTGGATGAACTCAGTGATAGCAGCTAAACTGAGTAACTTCACCAAAAGTGCTGCATTTTTAACAGGTTTTGATACATGCAAAAATTAAGGAATAGATCAGAGAAAGAACACAGATCATATTTACAAGATAGGGATAGTTTCTAGGAAGTCAATGCAGTGGAAAAAGGTATGAGAATTACAGTAGGAAATTGTTTGAACATATTCTTCCCTTATGATGCTACAGCCAGGAGGATGGGTGAGTTGGAAATAGTATGTAAGAGAAGAGGGGACAGTCCCTCTTTCTGTACAGCAATAATGAAACAGCTACCTGACTTTTTCCAGTACTGTTATTCCAAATATCCAAAATGTTACTGATAATTTGTAAAAGAGTCAGGAAAGAGATGAAATAAATATTTTAAGTTTGCAGTACATGATAAGTGGTTTCCTTTAGGTTAGCTCTGTCGTCATGACAGATCAAGGATAACTTAAAGTTTACAAATACCCATGTAAGAGACATGACTAAATTTGCTTAGTTAAGACTATAGCAAACAGTAACAGACTAGAAGTTAGAGACAACTCTGTAACAGGGTAACTAGCCAATGGACTAACTTACCTTAGAGATAGCAGATTCTTTGTCACTTGTGGGCTTTAAGCTGTGATTTAAGATGCTCTCTATGAAGTACATTATAGCTTAACAAACAATGGACTTTGTGCAGAAATTGATGAGATTCTTTCAGTTGTGTTATGTAGAAGGTTTAGACAACCATAGAGAGCCCTTCTGGCTTTAAAATCCTAACACATCTGTCTGCTCTTAAAAACTGTTGTTCATATGCATGAAATAGAAGCTAATAACTTAATGCATGTAGTTTTAACTTTCTACATTTTGAGCATATGATCTGAATAATAGATTTCCTGGTAGGGTGGAAATTACCAAAACTACCAAGATACTCCTGCGTTGTTAGCCCGTTTCCTTAGGCAACAACATAAGCAGTCATTCCATCTGTCTGTTCATCTGTTCTGCCCTTCATTTTCAATAACTTTTGAACCCATAATTAATTTTTCTTGAGTTCAAGAGAGGATAGAAGTCTTGAAGGTGATCCAATTTCTGCAAGTTCCATAAAAATCAGCATGGCAGTAGAGGAGGAATGCAAACTAATGCCTTATTATAAAACACTGTCAGAACTTAGCTGCTGTGTGCTGCTCGACAGGTCCACCTGGTTGGTAGCTTACCAGGTAAGTCTCACTGCCCTTACCTGGTGGGGAGGTGGCTGTCATGCAGTGCAGGGTGGTGAAGGGGTGTGCAGGGAAACAGTGATGCTGGAAATGAACAAAGTAGGTGCTTGCAAAGAAAAGAGTGAAATCCATAGCAAGACAGACTTCTGTGGTTCTACTGTTCACTCAGAAACCCCCATTCTTTCAGCAAACAAAAGGGGAAAGGTACTGTTTAAACAAAGTCACCCATCAGGGCTTAATGGTTAGGAAGCTGTAAACAGTTGACTATTGTCCGCATATATATTAGAACTTCTGCTTTTTAGCTGCTGCTGCTATAATTTGTCCTTTCTTGAAAACTGCAGGTGGGAGGTTTCCTTTGCACACAAACATAGATCAGTCCTGCCCTGCATTGCAGCCTTTATATTCTCAACAAGTAAAAACGCTGTAGAGTACTTTTGCCTTGCTTATGCTTTCTTTTTCCCTGTGGTACATGGGGTCCTTGCTGATTTGAGGAAGTATGTTTTATTACACAGTGACATAAATTCTGAAGCATGAACATAAACACTTCATCTGGCTATGCTCTTCATGAGCAACAAGAACATCCTATTAGGGATTCACAGAATATAAATGTCAGAGACTCATAACTGTCAAATCAACCCAATTTATTTCTGAGCACTCCAAGGCTTTGCTTCTTTCAGTGACAGCTTTTGCCCAAGCCACTGACAAGAAAAAGTCATGATGTTTTAATCATGAAGTCTATTTTTTCCCTATATGGTGTTATGGGAAAGCATTTTTGTGTAAAACTTCTGTGAAGAATTATTATTATCTTGTGGGGAAAATGCAGTCACATAAAAAAACAACATGAAAAGGAGAATTTTATATAGTCATATTTGACTGTCTAGGACCCAGAGTATGAAGAATGAGAAGTAAAACTGCTGTATTCTTGGGTCTACCTTCATGCATCTATTTGTTTCTTTTTTTACAAAAGCATACAGGGACTTCTTTTGCATCCATTGTGGAGATGCTACTTTGATTATTACTTAAAACTGAGCTTAGCTAAGCTTTGCTTAATCCCTTATTGTCATATTTAATCATCAATGCACTTTTAAAAATTTAGAGCCTGTAAAGGCCCAAGATTGTGAAGTAAAAGTGCCCTGCAGAAAGGTGGTGATCTGGAGAGAGAAGTTTGACAGAAAGCCCCACCTGAGCCGTGGTATATAGAAGACAGGAAGAAGAGATGCACCAAGCAGAATTGATAAAAACAGGGAAGAGCAGAAGACCAAAAAGAGCTAATTAAATCCATCCCCACTTGTGCTTTTCCAGCTGAACTTTGGCATCTGATGCTATGGTGAAGTAAGAGGTTAATGCCTCACAGTTTCTAGATAGTCTCTCCACTCACTGGATACTACCCTATATTTGGAATTCTTGTAGTCCAGGGACTGCCTGGTATATTGGCTAGCACCTGGTTTGATAATAATTTAAACTGCTGTGCCACATAGTGAACTGTGGTATCTCAGGACCCACACACAGTAGTTTAAGTCATATATGACGGAAGAAAACCCAAAAACATGTGAGCTAAAGAGCTGGGGTGGTACTCTCATAAATCACTTTTTAATACTTAGAATATTTCTTGAGGTGACCATAGTTAGAATGATGGGGAAGTCTAACATGGAGATGGACCTGTGAGAAAGGAAGCTGCTTTATGCTTATAATTTTAAGAAATGTGTTTATATGCAAATACATATACATGCTATCCAGCCTTCTAGTAGGTGGCTTTTTGGTGACTGTCATCACTCTTTTTATTCTTTGTTAAGGGAAAGCAAACCCACAAGCACAAGCTTTTTTGGTACAATGTTTGAAGATTTATTTCATTATAAAAAGCAGTTTCAGCAGCATTTTTCTGTTGCATTGTTCTTGCCAGCTTTTGAGGAGGAGATATTTAACAGTTGGATATTGAAGTACATGGCTTGAAAACAAGATCAGGCCATATTTGAAGCCAGTTACCTGTGTAAAGTAGTCAGTGGTTCAATTCTAAATTGGTTCAATTTAGAATTAAATATATTCTTGCATTTTTGGCTTTCTTCTTTTTCCTTTCTCTTTTTCTATATCTAGAGGTCTTTGTCATTTGCACAAGGTAATTATTCTAATCTCAGACAATACTTGCCTACCCTAAAACTTAGTTTACTCTAAAACCAAAAATTACATTTAATTTGTACTCAGGCACTGACAGTTTAAGACCTTCAGTAGAAGTGCCATGTTCTGATGTTTCCCACCTGATTGTGACTGCATAACCTGTGCCTAAGCCATGTGCTTTCTTTTATCTTCTTACATCTCTGCCTTTATCAGGGGCTCTTCCTTCTCTTTGCAGATTAGTGGATACCTCAATCTACTGGCCAACACCATTGATAACTTCACACATGGCCTGGCAGTAGCAGCCAGCTTCCTGGTTAGCAGAAAGGTAAGGTTTCTGTGCCCAGCTGTGTACTGAACTAGAGAGGCCTTGTTTCAAGTGTGATGCAACATGCAGAACACCCAAAGATGTAAGGAGTTCCCTCCTATTTTATGGAGTTTTCTGAGAAAATGCAGACTACAGTATAAACCAACTCTATCCTGATCCTGATGCAGAGCTTCTTCAAGCCTGTGACATGTTAGTCATTTGGACTGACACTGCGGGAAGGATTAGCTCATCTACTCAAAAGCCAGGCCAGAAATAGCATTGACCCCTTACATGATGAGGATGGTCACTTCAGAGACAGGGACATAGACAAGGAAGAGATGTTTAATGCTTTTTTTACTTCGGTTTTCAACGCTGATGATGGGCTGTCAGGTTCCCAGTGCCCTGAGCTGGAGGACCATGACTGTGAGAATGATAAACTCCCAGTCAACCCTGAACTTGTGTAAGATCTGCTGTTACAGCTTGATCCCTGTAAGTGTATGGGACCTGATGGTGTATGGGTCCCCTGTATGGTACCTTGGATGAATCCAAGAATACTCTGATTGTTTCCTAATCACCTTCTCTCTGCTGCAGGTTGGGTTCCTAACCACAGTGGCCATTCTCCTGCACGAAATCCCACATGAGGTGAGAGGGCTTTGGATCCTGCCATTGTGAGGGGAATTACAAGGTGCTTCACCTACTAAGAGGAGGCCTGGGTCTGGTTAATATTTTCTTGTCCTTTTGAAAGCTGCTCCCTCTGGGAGACGGACAACATGGAAAAGCAGAAGCAGTCTTGAAGCGCTGGTCTTGCTGCAAATGCAACAGCCTTTGTGACTGAGAATTTAATATTCTTATTTATTAACTGTCAACTCTTGGTTTTCTTAGGTTGGAGACTTTGCAATCTTACTTCGGGCTGGCTTTGACCGCTGGAGTGCAGCCAAAATGCAGCTTTCCACAGCTCTGGGGGGAATTCTAGGAGCCTGCTTTGCAATATGTGCTCAGTCACCAAAAGGAGCAGGTAAGGCTCCCTGTGACCTCTGGAGTGGGGAAAGGAGGTGCTTGTCATCCCCACGTGTGTATCTTTTCCTTCAGTGTTGTCTCCCATGGCTCTGTCTCAGTAATAACAAAAGCTTCCTGTATTTGTGCAGGTGAAACAGTAGCCTGGATCCTCCCTTTCACTTCTGGAGGATTTCTGTATATTGCCCTGGTAAATGTTGTGCCTGATCTCCTGGAGGAAAAGAATCCTTGGTAAGTGCTCCCTCCTGTTCTGCTGCAGCAATTCTTGCTGCCAGGGAGCAGGGATATAACCCTCCCCTGTGCCTGTTCTGGAAGCATGTGAATGCTGGCTTTTCAAATCCCGTGGGCAAGGCTGGAATCAAAATAGACTGCTGTGCTATGGGACTGTTGTGCTTATGGGACTACAAAGACCCTCTAAAACACAAGAACCTTTAACTGGGTCAGTCCCAAAATATTGTGCTAGCACAGTAGTAGCATGACCAGCTAGAGCAAGTTCCTCAGAAACATGTCCAGTTAGGACAGCTTCTGCCCTGTCTGTCTTTTCAGCTTCTTGCATGTACTGCTTTAGGGACTGTCTGAACCAGGGCCCCATAGAGGTGTGTATGTCTGTAACCACACGTGAATCTATCCTTCCCATGCTTCTCTCATTCCTTTTTGACCTTATCCATTAGTTCAGGCTTCTGCAATCTCCCTTTGGCAGAAAGTTTGCATAGCTTTACAGCGCTGTGTTAAGTGATACTTATTATTTGGTTCTTATACTCTTGCTTATTGATTTTTTTTTTTATTAGATGCCACCGTGGTGCTGTGTCAGTAAAAAATAATAGTTTTCTTCTCTTTATCATTCAACATTTCGTAGTCTGTCATTGTATCCCACCTCAGTCATCTCTCTTCTGCACTGGTGTATATATTCCAGTATATTTGGCCTCCCACCGTGTATTATTCTAGTTTCTTGCAGTCTAATTAAAGCTGTAGCAGCTCCAAATCCAGCTGTACCGCAGTAAAGGCCCTCTCAGATCTGCTGGCAGAGCTGCCCTTGAATGTTCCCCTCTATTTCAGTTGTAATGAGACAGGCAACTTAAGTGGTTTAAATAAGATGCCTTGGCTCACCTAGTTAATTTTGACTGAAACATTCCTCAAAAAAACAGTCCCACTCCCCCTGAGGAGGCAGGAACTTCTGGTGGAGAAATGTTAATGACTAATTTGGGAGTTTGCTTCTGGGTTGGTAACCTCTTGTGCTGGCAGAGGTTGTTGCCAGAGTATGCAGAGGTGGGAGGTGTACAGTCACTTCAATCCAGCATAAACCTGAGATAGTGCTAAAAGAATGGCCAAATTCATCATCTTGCTTTTTTTTTTTCCTTTTCGTAACTGTGGTTGTTAGCTGGATGAGATCCCTAAAGTGCCTATGAACATGATGCAGAAGTGTTGGTTCCCTTGTGAGTGAGAGGACAGGAATATATACCTGAAGCTACAAGACTGAATCAGCTTAAGTTGATTTTGAAACCTGGAGCTGGGCCTTGCAGCTGAGTGGAACGAGTACATGTCAGTTTATAGACAACATCTTTGCTTGGGGTGCTGGGAAGGAGTCTTCTCAGCTGTTAGTGACTTCATACAGCTGTTGTGTTCTCCATGTGATAGATTTGAAAGAGCGAAGGGCAAACAACAAATGATTTGAGAGTCTCTCTGCTGTTGCCTATGGGAATTGGTCTATGGCTCCTCCTAATTTTACTGTTTCTTTCCCAGGAACTCCCTGCAGCAAATTCTGCTCCTGTGTACAGGCATTATAGTCATGGTGCTACTTGCGCTCACAACTGAGTGACCTCTGCGCAGACCTCATGATGCCTCCCAGAGCCACCACAGTGACTCTGAGCTGTTACAAAGCAATAAGGAACACTAATATTATTTCTTACGTGTGTGCGTGCAGATCTGGCTGCTAGTATGAGAAGCAGGTGAGAAAGAGGTCTGGGTGTGCAGGACTTCATTCCCTGGCTCTCCTATTCCTGTTCTGCTAAAATCCACACATCAGGGCTTCTGTTATTTTTCCGATTGGTTGGGCTTTATGGAGCAAAAGATACACTGGGGAGAAATGAACTGAACAACTGCTCCACTATGAATGAATGATATTTCATTCAGTTCGTTCTGATGGAACTGCACCTCCCAAGCTCTTGTGTGAAAACGACAGAGGCGATTCCTGTAGCTGATGAAGACTGAGGACTTTTCCTACCACTCTAATGGCTGGAGGCAGAACAGGGATTACAAAGCAACAACAAACTGACAGCTTTAGCCAGAACTCCCTACCCATGAGAAGTTGATGGTGCTATGAGATAGAGGGGAAAAGACCCTTTCCAGCTTGGTCTCTGGCTTTTTATTGACATTGCTTGTTCCTAAAGGGTAGTATTAGCCTCAGCAGTCCAGCTCTTTTGGCTTATTTTGTATTTGTTTATGTTGAAATTGAGCCAAAAGCTTGAGGCACTTTAGGATAGGTCACTATAATTAAATGACTCAGCTTGGAGATTACTTGCCTCAGCCCTAACCACTCCAAAAGCCAGCACAGCCTGTTTATCTGATAAATGATTAGTAAATGTTTCTTCTATTGCCATACTACCAGCTCACCTACATCTGGAAGGAAAGACATATAGCTGCTGTCACTGAGCTCCCTCTCCTCATAACCATTAGCTGAACACAGCTCTGAGCTTGCTGTTGAGACCTGAGTCACCCACCATCTGCCCCACACCATATTTCAGAGTTTTCTTGAGGTGTAGCATGTTAGCCCTGCCTGACATGCTATAGCACCCCTAGACTGTTATGGCAGAGGTAGCTGAACACTACAGCCTGGCCAGCAGCTGACAACTCCTGGTTAACTTTTCCTCTGTTCAGTGTAGACTATTTAAGAGCATGCTATAACCAAAAGCATAGATGGTAGCCTGTTTCTGGGCTTCTTACCTCACAGTGATGTTCATCTGTTGGGGATGAATGGATAAGGAATAATACTGACAGCTCTTAAATGGGAAAGCTGAAACTGCTGGTGAAAATATTTAAAAAATATTTTTATAGAAAAGTTGTGTGCTAGGTAAGGAGAGAAGGGGATATGAAAGGGTCACGATAGGTATGCTTAAAGAAGAGTTTTCTGTTTTGTGATGCTTGGGATAAAATTTTTGGCAATTTGAGACCAATAAAAATAAATACAATTTCTAGTGCTTTCCTGCATCCCAGCTCACAAGGCTGACCAGGCCATAATTCCATAGGCATATTTTATTGCCACAGAGATGTGCACAATTACTAGATCATCTCTTCTGCAGAGCTTATCCTCGCTTTGCTTAAATTTGTTTAAAAACAGGTCTAATTGAACTGGTGGAGCCACTGGGCATAAAACAGGTGCCCCAATGTCAATTGCACCAGCTTAGCTCTGTCTTTCAACAACTTTTGTAAATCAGTACAGCTCTCCAACCTGCACAAGGCCTTATCAAGAGGGCTTATGCCTTCAGAGGGCGATTCGGGTCAGAGCAGCGAGGCAGGTATGCTGCTGACAGCAGAAGCATTTACTTTCCTGAGAGATTCCCCAACTGTTGACACAGTTCTTTTTTATGACAGTTCCTGTCCTACTTTTCAGCAAGTGCTGGAAAGCTCATGCTTGCAGTTCTATCTGCCCAGGAACTGCTGCCTGAAATTTTTTCAGCTTTCCTTACCCTGGACTTACAGCAGTAACTAATTTCACTGCAACAATGAGGGAGGCTTAGAGCAATTGTTTTATTCCTCTTTACAAAGTTGCCTTCCTATGCCAACTACTCTATCATTCAATTGTCTGAAGGTAGCATCTGCTTCCCATTTTCCTAGAAGGATGATTAATCCAATTAGTCTACAGGGACCGGCTGGGTATGCTAGCCCTCTAGTTCTGGCTTTGGGGGTTCCCCCTGCCCAGGGACTGCAGCTAAGTGGATCCTGTAATGGGGCTCTGGAGGAAGCAGGTTTGCACAGAAAGATGTACCTGCTGTTTCTTAAGATTTCTTTCCCAAAATAAGGCTGGCATTTAAGTTGAGGCACTGCCAGGTGAGTGCCCATGAGTTGGCGTTGTTGCATCAGCACTGAGCCTTGCCAAGACTGAAAACCACAGTCAGGATTTTGTACTCAGTGTTCAGGAATGCAAAGTGGATGACACTGAAGAAGGAATTTCAGAGCTGTTTTTCTTGGCTGCTACCATAGGCCTGGATAGTCTGTGGTTGTTGGGAAGATACCCTGGTAGGAGGTAGCATGGGGCTTGTGGGAGGGAGGGGCTTGATAGTTTTCTATGTCAGCCCTGGAGCTGAGGATGGAGAGCCTTGGGAGGAAATGGAGCATCACTCCACCACATTTGTCACTTTTGGAAATACAGAGAGAATTGTATTTTCTAGCTCTATTTTTTCAGCTGCTCTTTTTCATTTCCCACTTCATCTGTATTGATCTGCTCTTCATGGAGACAATAGAGATGAAATAAATGGTTTTCCATGTTGGTTTATGTTGTTGGGGTTTTTTTGTTTGTTTGCTTGTTTTGTTTTGGGTTTTTTGGAAGCTACTACTTTTCTTTGAATTTAAAATTCAATTCAGATTTCATTTGAATTACAGAGCCATATCTCTGGGTTAGGCTAGAGAAGTCTGGGCTCTGTGTTGCTGTCAGACATTCACAATTGAAAAAGAAGGTTCTAATCCGGTTTCTTCTTCCTGATGCCAAGGAACTGTCATCCAGGAGCAGTGTGATCCAATCATAATTTTTGACTGCTGGTCTGGGTTCCTTGAAAAGCATCACCAAATAATTTTCTCTTCTTTCAAGGGAAAGCTTGCATGGTAACTGACTGTCCAGAGAGTTTTGTAACTATACTTTGTTGTGATCAGTTATTTTTTTAATCAAAAAACTCACTTAACACTAAGCTGGTTATCTGCCATGTAGAACAAAGGTGCACTTATCAAACATTATGGGTCAGAATTGCCCAGAAAGGACTAATAGGAATTTCTCTACCCTTCAAAAATATGGGTTCAGTGCATGTCTTATCCCACCCTTCATTTGGAAGATTTTCTGCCTACAAATAACGGTACATGACTCTCAGTTCTGTAAGTGTTTTGTAAGAAGATGGAAAACCATAGCCCAAGAGCTAGAAGAAGATGAAGGCAGGTAGGTGATCAAGGGTGTGATTTCACGGTCTGTGGACTTCGCCAGAAACCTACATTTTGGAATCTCTGTCCCTGGATTTACCATGCTGCGCTCTGTCTGTGCTGGTACTAATTGCAGTAGCACAGAAGGGAGAATAATTGGAAGGAGGCTCATACATGGGAACTTTCTAAGGTGATGGTTTTTCTGAGGCCCCTGTCTTCTAAAACTATAGCTTCAGGCGCTGATGTAGAGGGTAGGGTGACATAATAGGATTGCAGATTTAGGAAATGTGAATATTTGGATCTTTCCAGGAAAGAGCTATTACAATTGAAGGATTTTTTCATGTTATCTAGAGCAGTGATTGTATTTTAAAATTATTTTTCACTCTTCATGTGGAAGATTTAATTTAGCTGGTATGTGTAAGAAAATTCTTTTGACAGCAGCCCTTTCAATTTGTCTGCCTTGAAGGCACTAATGTGCAGCTGCATGGATGGTAATCCCATCTGTCCAGTGCAAACTGCAGAAGAGGATCATGCTGAAATGTGGTTAAAGCAAGCTTTAGCTGTGACTGCTGCATGTTTCCACCAGGCATAGTGCTCTGAGGAGATAAGCAGTGTGCTGTTCTGGGCAGCGTTGTGGGAAAAGTGCTGGGAAGGGTGTTTGAGTGTGGATGAGAGATCAAGATGTGACAAGGCGGGGGGGGGAAGGATCTGAATCTCCTACAGTTGATCTGTAGGAGATCCTGGGAAACAATTTAAAGTACTTCTAACAAACAAAACTAAGAATTTCAAAACTGGGCAATAAATTTTTAATTTTGAAATATCAGTAGATCATTTTATCTGGGGCCAGAATTGACAAGACAATGGCCTAACAACTGAGTGATAGTGCTGGAGCTGGAGGAACAAGTCCCATACAACAAGCGTGATCAGAAGGGATTTTGTGCCCCTGGAAATGCTGCATTTAACTAATGGAGTGGATTTAGCCTGCTTCTCATTACATAAAATAGATTGACGTTTTTCAGCTTTTCAGGCCTTATTTTCCATTAACCGCTAATGAGGGGTTGAGGAGGAATCATCATCCAAACGTCAACAAATGCTGTTGGGGGAGGTGTTTGTATTTCGCCTACATTTGAAAAACTGCTGGCTGCCGCGACCTCGCAGTGTGAGCAGGGCTGATCTCTGCGCTTCTACCCTCCGGGCAGGCCGGATGGACGGACCAGGGGAGGCCGCGGAAAGGGTCGGGGGCTCCGCTCACCCCTTCCCCCGGTCATCCATCCCCTGGTAGCTGCCGGGGGCGGGACAGGGACTCCGCCAAGGGAGGGGGCCTCGGTCTGCGGAGCAGGAGCCCGATGCTGTGGCGGGGGTCGGCGTCCAGGACTCCCTCGAGCCCGGGCCGGAGGGCCCCGGGGGGGATACGCCGGTATAGCAGGGAGCTCGGCACGGTGCCGGGGCGCGGGGGGCGCTGGCCTGGTGTCCCTTCCGGGGGCGGTGCCGCGGGCGGCGGCCCCAGTAGGGCTGCAGGGAAGCGCCCGCCCCTGCCACCCCCGGCGCGGTAAGATGGCGGCCGCGGCTCAGGCGCTGAGCGGCACCGGGCTGCTCCTGGCCGCCGCCGCCCTCGCCCTCCTGGCCGTGGCTATCGGCACCGACTCCTGGTACGAGACGGACGCGCGGCGGCACCGCGAGCGCTGCCGCGGCTTCGGCCACAAGCGCAGCGACCCGCCCGGCTCCATGTCGGCGCCCAGCTCGCACCTGCCGCTCCGCGCCCGGCCCCCTCGGGCGCTCCTGCCCGGGCGGCCCCCGGCCCCCGCCCCGGCCGCCGCCGCTTCTGCCGCGCTGGACTCGCACTGCGGCCGCCGCTTCAACTCCACCGTCTCGGGACTCTGGAGGCGCTGCCACCGCGCGGGCTACGAGCCGGACAGCGAGGAGCTCATCCGGAAAGGTGCGGGGGCGGGGGGCGGTGGCGGCCCCGCCGCTGTCCGTGGTGCTGAGCGCGTCCCCGCCGGGGCACCGGGTCTGCGGGCGGGGCCGCGGCTGCCGCTGCTGCGGCGAGGACGGGGCGGCGGGAGAGCGCGGACGGAGCCCCGACCAGCCCCGTGGCTCCGGGTGTTCCTGGCGTGCGGGAAGCGGCGAGCGTGGCCCTGACCCTATCCCGGTTTTGTGCGCCTCCCTCTGCTTAAAATGCTGCAGTGCTGGGTGGAACCATGTCCTCGGAGAGCCCCTTCGGGGGCCCAGTGCAGGGCCTGACTCTCGAGCGTGGTCTCGGTGGGCGTCCTCCTAATCCTGGCACTTTCTTATTGAGTGCTGAGAAATGTGCAGTATTGTTCATAGTGCTGTGATTTTTACAGCAAGGTGAAAGGGACCTGTTGTTCCTCTGCTAGTAGCGGGGAGTTATCATTGCCGCAATAGATTGCCAGGCTTTCGTGGTGATGGATGTCACTCAGGCTCCCCAGGGTGACAGAAGAGAAAGCTGTGGATCTTCTACTGTTGTGGCACATGCTACAAAGCCAAGCAGGCCACGACGTATGAATAAAATTCCTGCACTTGATGATACAAAAAATGTAGCGGGCTGACCCATGAAGCCAATGGGTTACGTATGGTTAATGATAGATAACAGGATTTACTGTTCCCGCAGGTACATATTAGCACAGGAAGAAGAGGAACTGGGAGAAGTGCTTCCATTGAGGCACAAAATGGAAATGCTATCTTAAGAAAACGAGTGCAGTTTTCGGCTTGGCTTCCAACTGTGACGCCAGTCCTGCACAGCAGAGGCTGGATAGACTGGCACTGTGAATCTTAGCTCGTCTTTGTCCCTTCTTTCCAATGCACCGCAGTGACTCTTACTTCTAGAAAGTCTAGTGCTGTGTGCTTAGCTTCTTTCTCCATTTAATCTCCTAGGATTCTTTTTATGTGTTTTCATTTTTTAATTTCCATGTTGAGCTCCTTTCACTAAAAGGCAGCTCTTTAATTTCTTCCTATTAATTGTGGCTGTCATGTAAAATATTTATGTATTGTTTTGCTTCACATCAAGCAAAATGCTTTCAGCTCCCATTGAGATTAGCTAAGATGGGGGAAGGAATGGGAGGAATACTAGTTTGGTCCTCAGTACTTCTTTTTCAGTGATATTTTTCCAACACCTCAACAGTCAGAGAGGCTTGAGTCTGTTTTCTACATGCACGAGGGCACTACAGGCTGGTGAATTATCTTCCTCAGGGTCTGATGTGTAAAACTGTAAGGACTCTAAATCCAAAAGGTTTTCTTTCTACTTTATTTCTTTTTTTTTCAGCTGTTCTAAAAACAGACCTTGCCTTTCCCTTCAAGCCTTGCTTCCCTCATATTCTTTACCTATTAGGTCTGCGGTTGCTACTATAAAGATTTATGTGTCATCTTATAGAGGGAAATTATTAATAATAGTTTTTGTAGAATTAGATCTTTAAATAGATATGACTCTCTTATCCCTTCCCCTGACCTCCTTTACTAGCAGCCTTTCCTTGTTCCTGCTGTGTCTGTCTTTTTCTCTGACAACTGTGATTAAGCAGCCTTTTCCAACTGACGGTCAGGTGTGGCTGTGTCTGAGCTGTTCTCTCAAGCATAATACTAGATCTAGGCCTTCCAAAAAGAAAAAAACAGGTGTTTTTTCCCTGATGTGAGCTGAAGATCACTACTGTGCACCTCTGAAAGTCCTACTTTCTCCTTGATTTGCATTAAGTTTTCAGCTAGCTCTTTGGTGATGTGTGATACCTTCTTATATTCCTAGTATTTCTTAATTTATAGATTTTTATAGGCTTTTAGTGACAGAGGAGTAAATTTTTTTTCTCACACTCCTGTGGTAATTTTGGTTTGGGTTTATAGTCTCCATTTTCTTACTCTCTCCGGAATAAGATTTCTTTCTGTGTCTATCTTGAATTCTGAATAAATTACTAAGTCCATAAATACTCTTATCCATTTAGATAATTGGATGGATTTTTAGTCCTGTATTTATCTACTGCTATTACTACAAAATGATTCTGTGGAAACTTTCATACTTGAGCATTGTAGCTAATGATGTATATGGATGCATCCATTTATATATCTAAAATAAATATTAAAAAAAAGTAAAATATATTTACTTCGTATGTTTAAAATGAAAAGGCAGAAGTCAAAAAATGCAGCTTAAAACTGAGAGGTGGGAGATGTTTAAACGTAAGATGGGAATGATGTGTGGGATTTTTCTTAAAATGCAGAATCACCATTTTGGAACTGTGAAAAAATATCTTTTTTCTTTTTAAAAATACAATTAAGAAGGCAAAAGAAGAAATAATTCACAAACCACATGGGAGAAATGGAGATTAGCAGTCAGTAAGAGATAGCAGCCAGAGAACTGAACCACTTG